TGAGGCTGCCCCCGGGCTCCAGGCTGCTCCACCCCCACCCTTCACCCCGGGAGCCTTCTGCTCAGCCCTGGGCTATGAAAGCTCAGACCTCAGTTGTAAGAGGTCAGTGCTGTCCCATCTGCCTCCTCACTGAGCTTTACTCCAGAGCCCAGGAGGGTCTTTTTTTTTTATTTTGAACTTGGCGAATAAATTCAAATTTATTCTCAAACTGAGTAAGGTAAAGTAGCTCAGAACATTCCGACAAGAACCTACCCTTCACACCTCACTTCCACAAGGCACTAGCAGGAACAACCAGTGAGGACCACTGACTGTCACTGGTGAAGGGGGCCAGAGAGCCAGGCCAGCCCCGCCCTGTGGGGCACAAAGGGTCTCAGGGCAGTGGGAGGCATGCTTCCCCAGGGGCAGCCCCAAACCAGGGAAATGATTCTACCCAAGGGGAGACACTGCCCTTGGCCAGGCAGACAGGCAGGGGACTCTGAGAACACTGACGGAATGTGGGGGAACCCCGGAACCAGGAGGACAGGGGGGTGGGGACTGGAGTGCCTGGGTGGTGCAAGGACCATTCGAGGTCATTTCCGGAATGTCTCAGTGTATCACCCTGAGGTTGGAGAGAGACAGATCCCATATCGCAGCAGGGATGCAAGGGGCCTTGGCCTTTTAGGGTGGCCCCTGGACCAGAGGATGACAAGTGGGAGAAGACAAGTCGTGTGGAAACCTGTGTGGCCATTAATGTGTGCCCCAGCCCAGAGCACACCTAACTCCCCCTGCACGTGCACACACACACACACACACACACACACACACACACACACATCTCAAGGCTCCAGGACACTGTGTCACATGCAACTGGACCCTTGTCACTTCACCACTTTACCCCTTCTGGGCCGTGGGGGACCCAGGCAGCAGCCTCCTCCCATGCCCCATGGCCTCTCCCTGGGCCCCAGCCTCTTGCTCTTTTAGAACCTCCTGGCTCACTACTCTCTTCCAAGCATTTTCACGAGCTGGGGCTGGACTCTCAGGAGTTGAGGGAGGGAGACGGGGAGGGGGGCTCCATGCTCTCCACCTGTCCCAGGACTTCACCCACTTCCAGCAGTGCAGGCTCACAAAACATCAATTTATTGAGGTGCAATTCACAAGCAATAAATTGCACCCATGTGAGTATGCGGTTCGATGCTTTCTGACGACATACGTTTCACCTCTACATGTGTCCACACACAGACCACTTCCATCCTCTGAGAGCCCAGCCCCTTCCTACCCACCCTGAGCCCCAGCACTGAGCTGCCTCCTGGACAGCTCTCCAGGCAGGGGGACTCCGCAGTGTTTCTGGGACGTGGCTGGCCGTCCTTCCCTTGTGGTTCTGAGGGGTCTTCATTATGTGATCTACCCTCCATTCCTTGATGGATGTTTGGGCTGTTGCCAGTTTTAGTGTTTATAAGTAATAATGCTATGTAGGCACACCTATGCACAGGTTTTTGTGTGAACAAAGTTCTCACTTCTTGAGTAGATGCCTGGAGTGGACTGTGAGGTCTCATTGTAGATGCATGTTTCATTTTGTAAGAAGCTGCCCAAATGTTTTCCAAGGCAATTGTCCCATCGCACATTCCACATCCCACACGTCACCAACAATTAGTACTGTCAACTTTTTAAGTGTTAGCCTTTCTAGTGGGGGTGACATGCTCTTTCCTCGATGACAAAAGATTGTGATACTGAGCATATTTTCACGTGCTTATTAGTCATTTGTATGTCTTTGTTATGAGTCTGTTTGAACATTGAAATGATATAACAACACAATTCTGTGCATGTGAGCCCACTTCATGTTATGGGAACAGTTTATTGGATGCGGTCTCAAGGCTATGAGAACACTAGTTATCAGGCCCCTCCAAGGCTGTGGGAACACTGATTCCCTTAGTTACCCAGACACCTGGGTGAGGAAGCCAGACTGCCTCCACTTAGCCTACAGCCCACATGGCTGGTATGAAGAGAGAACATGTGAGCACAAGAGCACACCAACAAATAGGCGAACAAATGTGTGTTACTGAGTGAGAGGCCTTTGTAAAGCTTTGATCTTACTATCTCGAGCTTTCAAACTGAACAATCTTTCACACTCCTTTTCAGGCTTGTGCTGGGCCCTTCCTCTAACCAATCATTGCCTAGATCTTCTGAGGTTCTGCGTCTCTTATCCAATCCAATCCTTCTCCCAGGTTAGACGCCTCCCCTTTGTGGTCACCATCATGGCTCCTACTGCCCACGCCTCAAAGTGGGAGGACCTTCCCGTGTGCTGTCTTGGCTTCTTGTGGGCATGTTGCCAGCAGAGGAATTCCCCCCTCTCCTCCCACCGGATAATCCCAGTACTGGAGAGCTGGCTGATTTCTGGGGAGATCCTTCCTCCCTATGCGGTGGGAGGGGATGCAGGGGTGTCGGTCCCCTTTGTGGGGCAATGCTGTTTTCCCATGAAGTATATGAAGCTGTGGCTTCCCATCTAATTAAGCTTAGCCAGTTTTGCTTCTTTCTCTTCTGTTAATCTCGAGCTGCCTATGCTAACATTTTCCCCCTGAAGAGACCTGGGCCCTTATAATCTTAACCTTCTAAGGGTAAATGGATGAAGGTTTCATATTCTGTCGCTTCTTCCTGCTGTCAAGAGGTATAGTTCTGCCCATCCCCAGATCCTCGCTGCCAAAGGAAGAAGGGCGTCAAAAGAGGAGGGGTCTTCACAGGAGGAAGACCGGTTGTGTAAAGTCAGGGTCAGCCTGGCACTGTTCTTGGGAGGCGGCCTACACTACGTCGGGAGGACGGCACTGCTGGACAAGCTGGGGTCTTTGTATTCTAGAGGTGACAAGAAGATTAAAAAGGCATAGTCCAAAAATGAGGAGAATTATACAACTAAAATTCTGATGAGGGTAAGAACCAGGTGATAGAGGGAGTGACTAACGTTACAGTGTCCCAGACAGGGTGAGTAGTCGCATCCTGGGCCCGTGGCTTCCTTGAAAAAGGTCGGTCTTTACCTTCGTGGATGAAAAAGAGGCCACATATAAACCTGACAAGCTTGGGGAGGCCTCTGTGGCAGCCTTACTAACCCAGTGACCTAAAGTAACCGCATGGGATTGAGGAGGGATGGTAAATGGCTAGGAGAATTCCTTGGCAAGTGGAATGAGGAAACAGACAGACAACTGGACAAACTGGCTGAGCGAAGTATAGCCAGATACAGAAGGTCCAGGGCAGAAGGCCCACGGGCCTAGCAACAGGCAACACTGGCGCCAGACCTCCCCCTCAGGGTGGCCTTTCCTGCCGGCAGATGCCGGTCCTGCAGTTTGGACCCCTCTGATCTTTCCTCCCTGCAGATAACATCTAGTTCTCATCTAGCCGTATTTCAGTTCCACTCCCAGAAAAGCAGCAAAACCAGGCAAAAGACGTCAGGACCAGCTGCAATGACTAATGACTCCTGCCCCGTCACTGACCAATCAGTGGAGACCACAACCCTGAAAGGATACACCTGGAAAAGTTAACGACTGTTCTATTGAAATCCTTCCCTAAGACCTCCCTTAAACTCCCAGGCTTTAAAATGCTCAAGACGAAGGACCCAGCTCCTTCTGGGAGCACAACTGCACCTCTCCCTCCCTCTCTTCTTCCCCCACAGGCCAGCATCCCCGAAACTCTAAGGGACCTCAGGGAGCAATGGCTAAACCCCTGAACCCAACCCAAAGCCCCCCTTTCTCTGACTCTCCAGTGAGCCGACGGTAGCCCCACCTTGGCTCATTTGGCCACAACGTTTCTAGAGAGCCAAAGCAGCCCCACCTAGTCTTTCTCCTGTCGATTCTTCTAGCCTAGGCCCTTTCCTGTTTCACTGTCCCAGGCTTTAATAGACATCCTCTCAAAATCACCTGGCCTCATGTTCTGATACACTTCCTGCATGACGTCAAGAACCCACACATCACAGGCCAGCCCAAGGCAGACCCCGCTCTGGGCCCGGTCCCTGTCTGGTGACAGGGTGGTCTGAAGTGAACACTTCCTAACTAAAAGCGAAACCTAATGAGAAGTCATGTCGTGGGTTGGTATCGTCCTTGATAAAGGTCAGTCTTTACCTTAACCAAGCCTGTCTATTGTCTTATTGCCACTGTGATAACGTACCTTCGAAATATCAGAGTAATCCCCTTCTTCCAGACCCCTGAGGGCATAATCTCCCACACACGGTCTCTATGTGCTGTACATGTTAATTGTTAACTGACCTATACTCACCAATGGAAAAGAAGAATGCATCTATTCTTCTTTGTATTCGCTTTACTTTGTATCCAAACTTAGCAATTTCCCTGCTTTGCTTTCTCTCACCTCCCTAATCACCAGTGAATTTGGTGTGGCCCACCTTACATCTTCCCCTTTGATTCCAATCTACAAAATAGGTGTTAAATCTGTCATTTTCCAGAGCATTTTCTCAATTCATTGAGATTTTTGCTTCCTGGCCATTGTCAGTTTGGCTCAAATAAACTCATAATACTTATGTATAGGTTTGGACATTTCTTACACGGAAACCTTTGAAATTATCCATTGTTTTTGGGCATCTAAGGTAACACACTTCGGAATTTTGAATAATCACCTGTCCAGACCCCTGGGGCACAGTCGCAACCAGAGCAGGAAACCACAGCACCCCCCCTCCATTGTTATCAGTGTCCTGGAGTCCTGTCTCTGTGCCGTAAATGTTAGTTATTATGATTCTGCACCCACCAATGTGAAAGACGTAAACGTCTCTCCATCCACCCTTTGTCCATCCCAGAGGTTTCCCCTCTTTGCTTTCTCCTGGCTCTCTGACCCGCCGCTCGTGCCTGCAGGTTTCATGTCGCCCCCTTACACCTCCTCCTTCGATTCTAATGTATAAAATGAGCTACGGACTGCCATTCTGTGGAGCATTTCCTCAACCTGTTGAGGTTTTGCTTCTCAGTGTTTGTGTCATTTGGGTTCAAACTCACTCCTACCAGAATTTCTCCTGCTGAATATTCTTTCCTCAACAGCCCACGTGACTTTCTCCTCCCTCCAGACCTTGGGGACTCACGGGACTTGCTGATGCCCGCTCACCTGTCAGATGGCTCTCACACGAGCTGCGAGGCCAGGGCCGTCACTGACTGGGCCCGGGCAGCTCTCTCTGCTATTTCCAAAGCATCTGAACCCTCAAGACAGAGAGGGCTGCTTTGGGGCACCAGGCCCAGACATCACGTCTGCAGAGCTCGGGGAGTGGGCATCAGGGTCAAAAGAGAGACACTTCTCAATGCTGAGAGGGCGAACAGGCAGGAACCTGATTGTCTGCTCGTGTTAAAAATTAAAGACTTGACCACTGGAGCAACACACGTCCCATCAAGCTGAACAGAGGCGTCTCCTGCCGGGAGAGGAGGATGGTGCTGTTTAAAAGGGAACCCTGGCAGCCACTGGGGTGTGACTCAGGAGGGTCCCCTGCTCCCTGGGTGGTGGCACCCAGTGCAGGGAAATGCCAGGGGCTACGGAACTGTGCCCAGAACACATGAGCAGGAGCTACTGTGTCTGGAAGAGGTGAGAATGAGTGTATGATACACAGTAGGGCTGCAAGGACACCCTTCCGTGATGTCCTTTCTGTGTGTATGTGTGCTGAGGGGGGCCAGAGTTCGCCACCTCAAATGTGCCATTTGGGGTATTGATTATTTTAAGCTGGTTATTTTTTTAAAAGATTGTGTTTATTTCCTTATTTTAGAGAGCGGGGAAGGGAGAGAAACACCAGCTGGTTGCCTCCTGCGTGCCCCCAACTGAGGACCCAGCCTGCAACCCAGGCCTGTGTCCTGGGACCAGCAATTGAACTATCGACTTCTTCACTTTGCAGGTTGAGGCTCAACTATCTAAGCTATACTGGTCGTCAGGGTTTATTTTTCCTTTTAAGATTTTTTTTTTTTTTCGAGAGGGGAAGGGAGAGAAAAAGGGAGGGAGAGAAACATCAATGTGTGGTTGCCTCTCTTGTGCCCTTTACTGGGACCTGGCCTGCAACCCAGGCATGTACCCTGACTGGGAATCAAACCCGCGGCCCTTTGATCGGCAAGCCAGCACTCAGTCCACCGAGCTACACCAGCCAGGGGTAAACTGGTTATTTTTTAAGAAACAAAGACTCAGGAAGAAGCTCTGACCTTCTCCCTAACGGCCTAAAGGGCTTTAGTAGCTAAAAGGCCCAACCAGGGCAGGAGCTGCCATCACAGAGGACTAGTATCAAAGACAGGGAGGAACCTAGCAAGGCCCCTTTGAGCAGAGCCCCTCTGTGTCCCATTGTTAAAGGTGGCCCAGCAAACACGTGCCCACCAAACGCTGGCTTTTCCATCTGCCTGAGCATTGCCTCCCGCTACTCCTTCTCCCGCAGGTGGCACACAGGCCTCAATTGTCCCTATCTGTCCTGAGGTCCCACATTCTTTGGGACCCCTATGTATCTCTACAGAATAAATTTGGGCATTTTTCTCCTGTTAATCTGCATAATGTTAGTGTGATTATTAGTCCAGCCAGAAGAATTTAGAAGGGTAGAAAATTACTTTTCTGCCCCACTGTGCGCATATGTGAGAGTGCGTGAGGTGCCCACGTGTGTGTGTGTGTGTGTGTGTGTGTGTGTGTGTGTGTGTGTGTGTGTGTAAAGAAATTGAGGGAGCTTGGGAGCTCCAGGTCCAGCCCGTAGGTAGACTTCACAGGTCAGCAGTGCTCACTCCCTCCTTCTCTCCCTTCTTCCCCTCTTCCAGGTGCTGACTCTGCTTCTCTCACTGGCTGACCTTTGTGTCCCCTGTTGACCCCTACCATCCCCCTGCAGCCCCACAAGGGCAGGGACTGCTCCCTCACCAGGTCCTTGGACTCATAAGAGGGATGCATGCAAAATGACTGAGCAGGTGCTGGCCCCAGGATGAGCAAAAGGTGGAGTGCTGTACAGAGCAAGGGCTGGGCAGACGTTTTGGACACCTCACAATCCAATATGGAGTCACTGTTGGCTGTGCCCATTATGTCAGGTGCTATGTCAAGACAGAAGTAATGGAATGTAACAGGAACATCCTTAGGAGGGGCCTGGAAAGCCCAAAACCACAAGTCTGGACACTTGGATAAGGATGCCATCTGGGCACCCATAGGAGTGGGACCTCCATACCTGGTGGGCCATAAGAACTCAGAACTCTCCAATTTGGCTGTAATGTGGGTCACACTTGGAGCAGACTTCTGCTCCAGGGGACATGTGCCGCCATTGCAGCTGCCTGGCTTGAGAGCAAAGCCTGCCTCTTCAGTGATGGATGTCACCAGGGACTGGAACTTCATGCTGGACTCTTGCTCTGCTCACTTCTATTGCATAAGCTCCCCTCTCTCTGTGCGTGTTACTGCGTGTTACTCTATTGGCTTACTGGGGAGGTCTCCTCTAATAAACGTGGCATTGTGGAAAGACACAAAGGCTCTCTGCGGGGACACTCCCTTCTCATGACAAGTGACTCTGGATCCTGTGTTATGGGTGTTACGCTGTTTGCAAGTCTGTTCAGTGAACGAGGAACCAGAATGAACCCACGTTGGTGAGAGCCCCAGGTGTGGGGGTGAGTGGCCAGCACTGGGGGGAGGTGTGGCTCTGCGGCTGGTCCGGGGACTCTTAGGGGAGCACTGGGAACCAGGCTGGTCCGGGCTGCCCAGGGAGCACAGCTGGGGAGGACAGGCCACCCACTCGGTATCTGGCCCAGGATCAGTGCTGGGCAGCTCCCAAGTGTGCAGAGACCTGGCCCCAGGGTCCAGGACCTCCTTAGGGTCCTGGTGAAGGAACAATCGAATCCCGTCACCCCCGGGGACAGGAGCATGTGCCTTGCCCAGAGCAGGGTGCCTGGAGGCAGAGCCTGCCTGAGCCTGACAGTGGGCGCTGTTCCTCAGCCCCCCAGATGGGCTCTGCCTGGGTCCCACCGCTGTCCCCACAGCCAGGCCTGGGCTGAGCATGTCAAGCCATGACGTCTGCCAGCTTACCCTGTGCCTGCATCTGGTAGTAGGAGGAGGCCTCACAAAACATACAACTGCTTGTTCATTTTTTAAATTTTTATTTATTTATTTTTAGAGAGAGGGGGAAAGGAGGAAGAAAGACAGGGAGAGAAACACCAGTGTGTGGTTGCCTCTCACATGCCCTCTCCTGGGGACCTGGCCCACAGCCCAGGCATGTGCCCTGACTGGGAATTGAACCAGCAACTCTTTGGTTAGCAAGTCAGCACTCAATCTACTGAGCCACACCAGCCAGGGCTGCTTGTTCATTTTTAACACAAGACATGGGACAGTAAAAACTCTTTTCCTCCAGAAAAACTGAGTGGATAGGTTCTCCCCAACCAGAAAGGTAGGTGTGGGTGTTGCCACAGCCCACCTTGCCCCAGGGGCGGGCACGGCAGTGGGAACACGCACTGACCAGCCTGGGGGCGGGGCGGCGGCCGCTTGGCCGGACAATGAGGCTCAGGCCAGGCAGGTCAGGACCCAGCCCTGGACTGGGAACGGCATGGGATGGGGCTGAAGGGCAGTGGGAGTGTTTCCCACAGAAGGAGTGGGCGGTGGGCAGCACACACCTGTGGTCAGCGAGTCCAGCTGGTTCCTCCTTCTGTGGGTGTCCGCTGTTCATCCAGCTGTCTAAGGGGACAGGAGATGTGGTACTGCATCAGGTTATAATAAACTTATTTGAGGCAAAACCCTCCGCCAGCCCTCAAGGATGTGCTCGAACCTTCTTCCTATTGTCTCCCCCCCACCAAAGGCAGGTCCCCATTGAAACACCAACCGTGGGCATTGCTATAATTATTTTAAAGTATTGTGGTAAATATACATAACATAAAAGTCACCATTTTAACCACGTCTGAGTGCACAGCTCAGGGGCACTGAGCACGCTCACACCGTCGCACAGCCAGTCACCACCATCCGTCTCCAGAACTTTCCATCCTCCCAAACTGAAACCCCCGCCCACATTAAACACTCACTCCCCGCCCCCCACCCCCAGCCCCTGGCACCACCACCCGCTTTCTGCCTCTGAATCTGACGACTCCAGGGACCACATGTAAGTGGAACTGCAGTATTTGTCCTTTCGTGGCTGGCCTATTTCACTGAGCACGATGTCCTCCAGCCTCGTCCACGTTATAGGAGGCGTCAGAACTTCCTTCCTTTTAGGGCAGAATAATATTTCGTTGTATGGATGGCCCGCACGGTGTTTACCCATCCATCCGAGGATCGACACTGTTACTGGGCACAAGGCTGCGGTGCTCCTGCTTTTACTAGTGTCATTGCTATTAACAAATTGCTAAGAGAATGGTTTGTAGTGTTTGTGTTTTCTTCCTATAAATTTTATTTCACTTTTAACCTACCATCCAGGCTTATCGAATCCTAACGTTCTGCCTCGTCTCCATTTCTAAATAAACAACAAGGGCACCAGCACCCCATGCTCTCGTCTTCTCCTCCCCAGGAGGACATGCCGAGAATGTGGTGATCACAAGGGCTACTCCACGGTTTTGTTTTCAAAATGTATTCTATTGTTGGACCAGTTTAAAAGTGTTAAGTGACATCATGCTGCACTGTGGCTCTGGAATTCCTTTCTTTTACTCCTTTTTCTGTATGTGGGGCTAGGCTAGAGATGTGGCCACCAGGTGGCAGGTGGCTCCTGGCATTGTCTGGCCCTGGCTCCAGCTCTGTGGGTGACGAGGCTCGGCAGCTGCACTTTGGAGTCTAGGAGTCTGGCTGGAAGCAGGTGCCAGGCAGGCCCACCCTGACCACCAGATCTGCGTAGTGGTGGGCAGGGAGGGGTGTGGCCTGAGGGGTGGGGGTGGGGGGATGGGAGGGGATGGGCTGGGAGGAGTGTGGCTACAGGAGGAGGAGGGCGGGCAGGGCCCTGTGGTCTGCAGGCAGAGGTCACTCAGGGCATGTACCCAGGGCTGGCTCCATGCAGGCAGGTTCAGAGACCGCCCATCAACATCAGGCAGGGTGTGGGGGCTGGGGCCACGTAACTGCAAACCCACGTTTCATGGCAGGCTCAGCTCAAGGCCAGGGAACATGGCACAAAGTGACCTACAAGGACTTCCCCAGGAACTGAAGGGCTAAGCAAGAAACCTGGT